AAGATTTTTTATTTATTTAGACAATCAAAAATTCAATTTATTCTCCATCTTTTCCATTAAAAAGATTATCTAATAAATTAATATCTAAGGCTATAAATAATTTAGGTAATGAGGTCTTTAGACCATTTCTTTTTAGGCTCCTTGTTGGGATGTGGTTAATTATTTTCTCTTGCAACTTGCAGTCCTCTCTAGTCTTACGTGATATTTACTTTATTGTTTTTAATAATTTCTGCGACTGTAAATTGCTGTATATTATTTACTTTGTTACTACTTCCCGTAGGGTAAGTTATAGTAATTGTAAAAAAAATGAAAATGAAAATTTTTACATATTTTCACCTTTTGAAGGTTTCTGAACATTTTGGCATACTTTAGAAAAGAATTTCATAGAAATTTGTGTGTGTGAGTGTATGTATGTTTGGATACAATTTTTTACGATTTCGGGCGCACGAATCAACCGATTTGAATGATACAAAAACATTCGATTCCTATTGATGAGTTGACATGCTGATTAGTTTCTGAAGTTAGGCCCAGCCGTTTCGAAGATACGGGCCAAAAAGTGCCAAAGATGATAATTCAATTTTTGAGAGAACGGTATACCCGATTTGAATGAATCAAAAAACATTTTACTTGTATTGATAAAATGAAGAATTGATAAAATTTTTGGTAAGGCAGGTCTAGCGGTTTTGGAGATACCTATAAATGATCATTATACATATGCACATCAAATTATCAAATATTTGATAAATTTTTTAAAAATGTGTACTAATTTTGTTACAATTTTGTTAGGTCCTGTACCAAGATTGTTAATTTGTTTACTTATACGGTTCAAGCAAATTACAAAAGTTTCAGCAAAATTTTTTTTTCTTAAATTTTCAAATATATACAAAGTTTTATACTTCAAATATGAATTTTAAATTTACAAATCAGTTTGAAAAAGTATATTTTTCAAATGCGTTATTCTAATCGTGACAAATATATCCTCACACTCAGATGGATTTATTCGGCACATCCTGCTAATGTAAACTTAAGTTTTGAGAGATAAGATCATCACTGCATATTTTATGAAAGATAAAATATAGTGATTATAATTGTCTATTTGAAAATGTTTAAAACAATTGTTATTAATCATTGTTCAATATTCATTGATTACTGATTTTTTTCCCTTAAATATTTAATTCTGGTACAGGAAGTTCCGGCCATTTGCCTTAAGGCACGATGCCATACATCACTAGATAGTTTTATGTTTGAGGTGTTGGCAAAACCTCATAATTCAATACCTTTTGTTCATATTGGTATAATGACTCTTTTATAAGTTATCTTATTTGCCAGTGACATTTTAGATATTCTTCCGGTCGTCCAGTATATTTTTTTGATTTTTTACATTAGTTGCTTACATTTTTTATCGGATGTGGAATCTCCATGCAAGTCAACGATCCAAATGCATTCCCAAATAGTTTATATACTGCACATTGGAATTTAGATGTCATTTATATAAACTTCCGGGCATGTTTGTATTTTAGTGGTGAACGTTATATATTTGGACTTGTTTTCTTGATTTTAATTTTCCATTATTTTAGCGAGGACTTCGTCCAGGTTGAAAATGTGGTATTGTAGATTTAGCAATGATTGGGTCCTAGTGTCTTGTCATAATTACTGTATAGTCAGCAAATCAATAAACGTGTTGGCGTTTGTTTGTATATAAATGAGGAACAACAATGGTTTTAACATGCTTCCTTGTGGCACTTCCGATTTTATTTATAAAGGTTCTTGTGAAACGAATTCGGCTATTTGTTTTTATTTATTCGCTTCTCAGAAACATTTAGTTGTTAGGGGGCGTTCATTAATTATGTGAGCGAGTTTTTAAGGATTTTTAAACCCCCTTCTCTGTTGGTGATACATGGTGATATTCAAAATTAACCCCCGCTACCCTACCAAACATCACGTGTATTTTTAGTTACGCGATAAAACTGTAAAATTTTTGATTTTTTTTAATATGTTTTAATTTTTTTTTTAAATTTGTTAAAAAATAAATACACCCCCCCTACCCATAAAAACCTCTCATGATTAATGGACGCCCCCTTATTACTTGACGATGTTCGAAACGCCTATTGATATTTTATCATACTGATTCTTCACGTTCATTATTTTTGTTTTTATATCCTAGTAATTTTTGTACATATTGCATTAATGCTATTTTTATTTTATTGTTTATTGCTATTTTCAATTAGAAACATTATTTCATCTGCATTTTAAAGTGAAAACTGATAAAATTGATATCTAGTAATTGACATAGCTAACATAGAAACTATGCAATGCAATACCGACAAAAAAATTCAACGCCGGTATTTCAGTATTTGTTTTTAAAACCGGTAATACCGGTAAAATACAGGTATTAATATCTTAAAAAATATGAACAAAATTAAATCACTTGTACAAATAT